TGCAGGGCCCCCCGCAGCCCCAGGAGCCCGAGCTCACAGCCTCGCCCAGGACACTGCTTCCTTCTTCCACCTCAAAGCCCCCAGGCTTGGGCACGGGGACGCCGCTGTCCACACACCACCAGATGCAGCTCCTCCAGCAGCTCCTCCAGCAGCAGCAGCAGCAGACGCAAGTGGCTGTGGCCCAGGTTCTCCTCAGCCTCCTCCCTACCTCGCAGGCTCCACTCTCATGGGCTTGACGCACCTTCCCTAGCAAGGGGCTCAGGGCAGGTCTAAGGTTCAGGGAGCCATTAGGAACCACCGCTCATGCTGTCGGGTCATTGCTTGTGGGGGTCTAGGGGAGGGGAGGGGCACGGGTGAGGGCGGAAAGGCACATTTTGGTTTCCCGTGTGTCCCCCGCTCTGAGCTGGGCTTGGCTGGCTTGGCTGGATGTTGTTGGTTAATGACTTGAACTTATCAAGGAAAAAGATGCTCACAATTCCACCCTTCCCTTCCTGCCTTATTCTCCTGGTGTCTGGGGTGGGAAGGGATGCCTTCAGAGTCAGGACAGGTGTAACTTTATACTACCACTGTTAAAACCACTCAAAGTCTGACTTTGCGCCAAACACCCTTGCAAAGACTGGTGCCCTGATATCCCAACCTCCTTGTCCATAACAGATGTCCAAGCCCCCCACTGAGTGATCTTCTTATTCCAGACTGTATTTGATACAGTACTGGCCCTAAAATTCATTACAGTGGGATTTATCTTAAAGCAATTTGGTACATTATTTGAGCCATAATGAGAAGAACTGGCTGAGATCCCAAAGACTTGTTAGGCTCCCGCCGCTTTTTAGGGTAGGGGCGAGCTGACGTCCCTCGCTGCTTCTGACAGGGACTCCTCCTGTTTGCTTTCTGTGGAGGGCGCTGTAGTGCACTCTTCCTTGGGATTTAGGAATCTGAGCTTCCTCTCTACCATGGGCAATCAGGGAGCGTTGAAGACACATTCATTTATACCATTTCAAGGTGAATCCTGAGGTGAGGGCCAGGCCTGGTGAGTGGACAGAGATAACTGCGGGGGCGGCAGTGAGGGTTTGGGAGGGTTGCTAAGGGATGTGGACGGCACCTGTGTGCATCAGCATCCTAAGTCTGCTTGACCAGCCTGGTGGCTGCTTCAATTTTCTGCATTCTAGGGAGCAGACCTCTTCAAGGGGTGCTCATTGGTCCTTGTTGTATCTCCTTACTCTTCTCCTGGCTCTTGGGTGGTGTGAATCACCCAGGCAGATCTGTCCTTTCCTGTGTGTACACCTTGAGGACGCATCCAGCAGCCTGGCCAAGACGGGATCTGCTGTCACTTGAGTCTTGAAAAGAATTTCTTGTGATACAGTCTCAGTAGAGTAGAATCTGGGGGACACTGCTCTCAAGTTACTGGTGCCTTTTCAAAAAGTATGGCCGTGAAACAAAAGAATATCTAGTGATACGAGGAGGATTTGCAGGTATTTCCAAAACAGCAACAGAAAGGAGGGAATGTCACTAACGTCGTTTTATATTTGAAGAAAAGAAATCATTCCTCTTTGTGGAACAAAAAAATTCATCTCTTGTAGTTAATGATGGCCTGGCAGTCTGAGGATCCCCTCCTCCCTAGCGTGGTGGCTTGACAGCAGCACAAAGCCTGAGCACTCCAGCACAGGGGGGCCATTCCCAGAGTCACATCATTTCTACAAGTTTTCTATTGAATACAAATCCATGCTCCAACCATAATTCTTTTCTTTCTCAGTGTATCAATTGCCAAGTAATTATTATTTATCTAAGAGTGGGCTTGATGCATATTCATGGTACACATATTATCAGAGAGTCATTTGAATTTGAAGTCACTGCTAAGTAAGAAAGAGAAACTATTTGCAGATGTATAATCTGCACATGAGTGTCGTGGTTCAGGGGAAGGAAGCACTCAGTCCATAAGGCAATAAGACTCTGGGTCGACCAGGGTCAGGATGAAACCGCAGGAGCAGTTTTCTGGCATAGAATCAAGCATCTGTTTCAGCGGGGCGTGCCTGCCCTGGCCCTCTTTTGCTTGCCTCTCTCCTAGAAGACAGTGAAACTAGGGGAGGGCAAGAGTGTGGTGTTAGGGATTCTCTTCCTGTGCTTTTCTCAGTTCCTGGCCACTTCATAGGTTGGGCACCCCTAGCCTCTTGCTCATTCGCAATCTGTTGAGTATGGTTGACAGTTCCCTGCTTGCCTCTTACTACAAGCAGTGAAATGATTGAAAGGCCGCAGCCGAGTATATGTCCCTTGTTGGTAGAGTCGTAGACTCCAGAATCTTCAGACGGGACAGGACCTTGAGGTCATCTGGCTTTCTGGATCGTAGCCCTCCAGCTCTCTCTGCCCTTCCTGTCATTCAGTCCCTGATCACCTTCTTGCTGCTCGTGTCTTCTGCTGCCCACAGCAGGGGTATGGTACCTCTTGATTGGTCCCCTGTCCTGGAGATGGATTCAGTCCCGCACTGACCTTCAGGTAGAGGTGTCCCAGCCCTGCACACTCCTTTTTCTTTCACTTGCTTTGTCTTGTTTAATCCAAGGGCTTTTTATTAGTATCCTAGGGTAAAATCAATTGTGTAAGAGGTGTGGCTGGACTAGTAGATACTCTCCCCGGCACCTTTCACACATTTGAAATAGACCAAACACAGCATGCTTGGTTTCTCTGCACGGGTGGGGATGGTTCCATTTTTCAGCATGATGTCAGCTTTTACTTGTTCTGTCAGACTCCGTTGCCACCAAGTTGTGAGGTTTTTCTCTTTCTACATTAATCTACCAGCAGTCCCCAGAATTCCACTGAGTCAGAGCATATGACCTCAGTATTTCAGGTGGGAATACATTTTCCTTTCCTCTGGGAGCATCTGATTTTCCTATATGGTTCATAGATAAAAACCTAAAGATAAAGGAGGGTTTTTGCAAACACTTGTACTCTTGGGGTTGTTTCATCATTTTTGTCCCCCTCTCTGTGCCTTTTGCTCTCACAGACCAGTCTGGTTCTGTTATTGCCGTGGGGACCTGGTTTAAGTCCCCTTCACAGTGTTCTGATTTGGTCTAAGATCTCAAGACCTCTCCTAGTTTACTCTAAACCTGGTCTTAACGGCACACAGGCAAAGGTGGTGTCCAACCAACTCTTATGTATTTCTCAGTTAGACCTTAATGTGTAAATAGTGAATACCCAGATCCCTCTGCCACTTTCCTGCTCCAGCATGAGGCTCGCCTGGCTGCACTAGCTTCCTGCTTTTCGATGGACCAGAAGTTCAAGGGTGTGAATGAGAGTATAGCCAAGCCTTGAATCAAAGCTGGGAGGTAGCTGGCACCTGCATGGCCACTGGCTGGGCCTACTCAGCCCCAGATTGGATCTGGGCACCGGCTGGCTGGCAACAGTTAAGTAGGCCAGGTCTGTGCGCAGTTTGCTGAGTGCTAGCCAAGCTCCTGAGGAACGTGTAGTGCAGCTCAGGATTGCTATTTAAAGATTTCTCCTCTACCTGCTGCCACTTCTACTTGTTCAGGAGCAAGGAATTAGTTATTTAGGCTTCACGATTATGTGTCGCTGTGGTCAGTTAATGGAATAGTGCTTAAAAACAAAACAAACAAACCAAAAAACCCGTGCACCCACATCCCGGACCCTAGAGTTAGCACCTGTTCTTGTGGCTTCGCCCTGTCCCCAGCACCTTGGTGTGCGCTGCCCGAGTTCCTGCTGTGTGCATGCTGAGACAGCACCACCTGCCCCTGCTTGCATGTGTGTGTGTATGGGGGGCGGCCAATTGCTCTGGTTCTTTCCACTGCCATTTCCATGTGCCTGCTGCTCCCTAACTTCAGCCTGGCCCTGCCCCCACTTCTGATGGAGGAGCTGGAGTCCAGGCAAGTAGGCCGGAAAGTGAGTGGGTCACTGGTCTGGTGTTGCTGGGTAGGCTGAGGGTGGGTGTCAGAGCTGTGGGGAGTGGCGCAGAGCTAGAGGGTACAGAGGTGAACTTGTGCATGTGGCAACGTGGACAGAGTGCAGAGCTGGGCCTCTGAGCACTAGCACTCCCAGTGTGAGCCTAGTACCACCTACTGTGTGCCCCACCACTGACTTAGTCCCTGATCTTAATAGTCATCGCCAAAGATGGCACAGCTCTGGAAAGAGGAAGCCAAAGCGGACCTTTCCAGTCATTAATACGGTCTACTTTTGCAAAAGGTGTTTAATTCTTTGGAAGAAAAGCATGCCGAACACAGATGAACACCCTATCTGTCAGGGAGGAGGTGGCGCTCTGATCCTGCTGTGTGGATGGAGAAACAAAGCACAGAATGCCGAGGCGCACAGCCCACCCCAAGACCGGAAATAAGGCTGGTTCATTCCAGGGCCTCCAGTTACAGCCGGCATTAGATACAAAACTCTTTGCTTCAAAGGCAAAGAAGTCCAGGCCTATTTATGTCAGCATGGCCTGGTTTGGGCTCTTCGGCTGGATAGAATGCTGCAGCATGAGGTCTCAGCTGTACACCCCATGCCACTTTGACAGGGGCTCTATGGCAGGGACAGAAGGGTTTGCTAGTGCTGATCTGGGCAGTGGCGGCAGCAAGTGCTTCCATATTCTCAGGGCTTGAACTTACCGGGAATGGCGAAGCTGTGTTTGCACAGGTAAACGTATCTAAACTGCTACAAGGAGCTTTTCTCCAGGCACTTGATGCCCGTGGATCTGTCATGGAAGCATTCGATTCAAGGGCCTCCCAAGTAGCTCCTCCCATTGGAACACGAGCACCCAGAGAAGAAGCCCCCCAACTTTTTTTTCTTGGCCACTGTAAGAGGGAACTTCTCTTTGTTCTCAATCCTAGTCCTCAGACTCCACAAGGGGAAAATGAGGGATTTCTTCAGTGATTATTAACAAATTGGCCCTAAGCCAGGTATAGTGGCTCACACCTATGATCCTAGCACTTGAGGGTAGGGAGGGCTGAGACAGGAGGATCACCAGAGCTCAGGAGTTCGAGACCAGCCTGAGCAACGCAAGACCGTGTGTCTACTAAAAATAGAAAAATTAGCCAGGTGTGGTGGTAGGCTCCTATAGTCCCACCTATTCAGGAGGCTGAGGCAGGAGGATCACGTGAACCTAGGGATTTAAGGTTGTCATGAGCTAGGCCCACAGCACTCTAGCCTGGGCAACAGAATGAGACTCTGTCTCCAAAAAAGGTAAAAAAAACAAACCCCCAAACCAAATCAGCCCTAGCATTAACCACTGTATCCACCTGGATGTGGGATTGTCAACTGTCTGAGCCTGTAGTCAGTTGGCAGATGGAGACACTGAGGTGCAGAGAGAGTCTACTACCTACAGTTGCCTGGCAGCAGACAGCCTTCCAGCTCCTGGGCTGCTGCTTTTTCAAGTGGCCTGTTCTGCTGAGACGTTGAGGTTGGGGCATAGGAATCGGAGTCTGTACCATGAGAGCAAGAAGCCCCCACAGATACCCATCAGCAGTGTGGAGAAGCCTTTGATTTTTCTGTTTATGTCCACTGAGAGGCCTTATTCCACACTGGTCTCTGATGGTTCTGTTTGGTTGCAAAGAGAAGAGGGAAGGAATAGTTAGCAGCATTGATGTGCTCAGTGGGTTGCTTTCAGTGGGGCTCTTGGTTAGAATAAGTCACAGCCCTTGCGGATGCAAGGTTAGGCTGACCCTGCTCCCGGGCTTGTCTGTGGCTTCCCACATAACCTCCCTGTTCCTTAGAACCAAAGGGATTAGGGGATTCTTAGGTAAAATTGCTTCATGCCTCAGTTTCCAAGGGATAAAGTCTTAATTGTCATTTACCATCTGACATCCACATCAAAATGTCGTTGACACTTCTTTCCCTGTTGAGTGGCAGTAGGAGGAAACAAACTCACTTTTCTCCTACTGTGCTTTCACATCACAATACATTTCTATGGCCAAATGTATGGGGCTTCTCCCATATACCAGCCAAGCAAGCCAGTTCTGCTGTGGAGGCCAGCTGGATGTCACCTGGCTTGATTTGCCAGCTGGGTGTCGCCTGGCTTGATTTGATTCTTTTTTTTTTTATTTTGAGACAGAGTCTTACTATGTCACCCTCCGTAGAGTACTGTGGCGTCACAGCTCACAGCAACCTCAAACTCTTAGGCTTAAGTGATTCTCTTGCCTCAGCCTCCCAAGTAGCTGGGACTACAGGCGCCCACCACAATGCCCAGTTATTTTTTGTTGTAGTTGTCATTGTTGATTAGGTGGCCCGGGCTGGGTTTCAACCCGCCAGCCCCAGTGCATGTGGCCGGTGCTGTAACCACTGTACTACAGGTGCCAAGCCTCAATTTGATTATAACACTCTACCTGAAAACAGTGTCTGATGCCACTCACAAGTAATAGGTTATCACCTACACTTTTGTCCACTTGGATATAAATTGGGGCTCCCTTTACCCCCTTTCTTTATGTTCAGCTAATTTGCTAAAGTGCCTCACAGAACTCAGGGAAATATTCTAGTTACCTTTACTGGGTTGTTAGAAAGGACGTGACAAGGGACACCAGCTGGCAGAGATGCACAGGGCAAGGTATATGGGAAGGACTGTGGAGATTCCTTGCCCTCACTGGATGTGCCACCCTCCAGGCACCTCCACATGTTCAGCTATGTGGAAGTCCCCCAAACCGTGTCCTTGGGAGTTTTTAAGGAGGCTTCATTGTATAGGTATGACTGATTAAATCATTGGCTATTGGTGATCAGTTTGACCTTCAGCCCCTCTCCCTTCCCCAGAGGTTGAGTGTGGAACAGGAAAGTCCCAAGGCTCTAATCGTGCCTTGGTCTTTGCTGGCACCAGCCTCCATCCCAATGATACCTACAGTTCCCCAGCCACCGAGCATCTCATCAGTTATACAAAAGACACTTTATCATTCGGGAGATCCAAGGCTTTGGGGTGCTGTATTCCAGGAAATAGGGATGGAGACCAAACAATCTGTTCACGGTTTCATACATGATTTCACCCCGCTCTAGATCTTCTTTTGCAGCTAATATGAGGCAGCAAATGAAGCTGACTTCTTGACTAAAATACCAGTTCTGATATTTTATGCACCTTAGCAGTGCTTTATGGATGACAGATTTACTTTAGATTCCTTACACGTCATCCCCTGGGGGAAAGATGGGTCCAGCCCTGGGGACCCACTAATGGAAAGTGGCAGCTAATCTCATTAGTGGCTCCATGCAGTTAGAAGCAGAGCCAACGGCAAGGTCAGGTCCCCAGCTATGGGCAGAGAAGGAAGCAGCCACTGTACCCAGCATATATAATTCTCTGAGTGCTGGTTGCGGGGAGGGGCACACGCTGGGCTGGTAGGTTGCTTGGCCAGGTGTAGCCAGACTATGAGGTGAGCAGTTCCTTTACTCCCCCATAGAATGGGAATCTCTTTAGAGCAGTCTCCTTTTCAGAAATTTGAGGATTTGTTTTCTGAGCAAGAGAATTAGCTAATGCTTCCAGCTCTCATCTTTCTCCTCCATCCTCCTTCCACTGCTCTCACCTCAGTCGCCTGCCCCCATCCTTGTCCACACTGTGCTCTTGCTCCAAGAAAACCCTCTTCTCCATAAGCTGCCTTGGTCCATGCCACCAAAGTCATGAGTTCCCTTTCTTCAGGGACCTTCTGCAACCCTCCCTGGAGAACCCTTTATCCACTTGGCACAAGAATCACCTGAGAGTATAAACATTGTTACTGGCCTTGGGAGTCAGTTTCCTTAAGCCAGGGTCCTGATATAATTGCCCTATCTCCTCCCACTGAGTTTTACCTCCACTTGAGAATTACTCACCAAGAGCAGAGCTCTTGACACCACTGGGCCCCAAGCATGCAAGAGTGTGCCCTTGCTGGCTACTGAGAAGACTGTGAATTATTGAGGGTGCTGTAAACTGTTTGCCTCAGCCCTCCTGGAGTTCTTGGGGGAGACCTTATGAGTGGGTCAGCAAACATTTGACCCTTGCTGGGAAGGAATCACAGTCTTAGGTGCCTGCCTTGGGAAATAAGGGAATATAGTCATAGAAGAAGCTGACACCCACCGAAAGGCAGGCTGTATTACAACCACCTCACTAATTTAAATGCCCTATGTAATGCTTCCATTTCTTGTTATGTTTGAGCACAGGAGAGGGAGGAAAGATTCTATGGGGGTTTGTCGTGACACTATTCTTAGCCACTGGGCCAATATATCTATTGTTTTCTTAGAGACAGGATGAGAAAAGGTAACTCCCTTGACATGGCAGTGCTACGTTAGGTATTGAAGGAATTCTGAAAGCTCAGATGGGATGCTGGGAGGGGGGCAGGTAAGGGGTAGATGAGATGGCTGTTATCCTACATCTTACCCTCAATGTGGAACCCAGAGTGGTACCTGAGTGACACACTGGGCCTCTCTTGGGACCCACAGAGAGTTTCACAAGGCCAGTGAAAACTATGTGGGTCCTTTTCCTCTAGAGTTGTAGGCCCAGATGTCCATTCTGTGAAGGTGGAGGGCATCTCTGGTCCCTGTGATCTTCCAGTGGCCCTCACGTGCATTCATGTCCTGTCTCCTCTGCCCCCACCTCCTCCCTGCAGGTTCACTTGCTGAAGGACCAGTTGGCTGCTGAGGCTGCGGCGCGGCTGGAGGCCCAGGCTCGCGTGCACCAGCTTCTGCTGCAGAACAAGGACATGCTCCAGCACATCTCCCTGCTGGTCAAGCAGGTGCAGGAGCTGGAATTGAAGCTGTCAGGACAGAATGCCAGTAAGCCAGCCCCACCCCCCACCCCCAGCCTTGCCTCCCTCTGTGAAAGCTCTGGAAATCAGGCTGTTTTCCTTAAAGCTTATGCTTTGTTGGCCCCTTGACCTGCCCCTGTAGTCCAGAAGAAAAGAAAGGCCTGTTTACTTGTCCTCTTCAAATACTTCGTGAATTAGGGAATTGCAGGGCCAGTGGAGATCGTGGCTGCTGTCTAATCTCAGTGCCCGGGCTTGGCTGTAAACATCCCTGGAGTCACTGCCACTGCATGGTCCTCTAGTCTCTACTTGGTGGGGGCTCTGGTATCTGCATCCTCAGGCAGCCCATTTCTTTCTCACAGGGCTTTTTCCAATACAGAATACAGCCCAGTACCTATTGGATATTGTGTTCTCTGTGAGTGACACCAAACTATTTATGAATTTATTACTCTCTGCACTGAATATTTCACAACTCTGTTGTATTAAAAAAAAAAAAAAGCTGTTAGCAGCATATCTGTCTAGTGGGTAAGGCAGTAGAGTAACTGACCAGTCACTCTGCTGGGCAGTGGCAGAGGTTGCCTGCTGAGATGCTGCCTCTACACCCCGCTACCTCCAGGCAAGACCAGGAAGCAGTAGAAGGCAGCCTATTTCCACACTGCTCCCTTGAGCTTACATGGTCAGAGTGTGTGTTAGCTGTACATGGGTTGTGTACATGGTCAGAGTGTGTGTTAGCTGTGGCCAACAAATACCCACAATTACCTTAAAACTAGGCCAGCTCATTTAATCCCTATGGTGATAGATGCTATGCCCCCTTTACAGACAAACAGACTCAAAGAAGTTAAGTAACTAGCTCATGGTTACAGACCTAGCAAGGAGTTGAACCAAGATTCAGTTAGATCTAATTGCAAAACTAATGTTTTTCTGGCTAAACCAGTGGCTCCTCCAAACTATCCCAGGAGTTTTATTTATTTATTTTTTATTTTTATTTTTTGAGACAGAGTCTCACCATGTCACCCTATGTAGAGTGCTGTGGCGTCACAGCTCACAGCATCCTCAAACTCTTGGGCTTAAGCCATTCTCCTGTCTCAGCCGCCCAAGTAGCTGAGACTACAGGCACCCGCCACAACGCCCAGCTAGTTTTTGTTGCAGTTGTAATTGTCATTTAGCTGGCCCTGGCTGGGTTCAAGCCCACCACCCTTGGTGTATGTGGCTGGCTCCATAACTACTGTGCTACAAATGCCAACCCCCACAATTTTTCTTTTAAATGCACATTAATGGGTCCCACCCACAGAAATTCTGTATCATTAGGGGCTGGGGCAAAGGGCTGTCATTTTAAAAATGGCCCAAAGCTCTAAAGTGGACTGGGAACCACTGGCCTCCACCCTGAAGCCTCTCCGGATTTTCTAGGTTTTTGTTTGTTGAGGCCCTGCTGTATCCTAATGAAGGCTGACTTACAAGGTTGGGCTGAGAGGACCACGTGCTTTTACCAGGGTTCTCTCAATTGGTTAACCTTTGTCCTTTCACAAACTCCATTCAAGGCTTGCAGGGGTCTCCCCACCAGGGCACACGGTTCTCATGGCCCAGTTTTAGGCTACTGGGAGCGGGAGGGAGGGACCTCAGCCATGTTGCTGTGCGGGTCAGGGAGGGATTCTCCCACAGGAGAGGGACTGTGAGATGACAGGCCCCCCAGTCAACCACTTTGCCTAACGCCGCCCCTCCTCTTCCTCTTGTCTCCCCATCCAGTGGGCTCCCAGGACAGTTTGCTGGAGATCACGTTCCGTTCCGGAGCCCTGCCGGTGCTCTGTGACCCGACGACCCCTAAGCCCGAGGACCTGCACTCGCCGCCCCTGGGCGCGGGCTTGGCTGACTTTGCGCACCCGGCGGGCAGCCCCTTAGGTAGGCGCGACTGCTTGGTGAAACTGGAGTGCTTCCGCTTTCTCCCGCCCGAGGACACCCCACCCCCGGCGCAGGGCGGGCCGCTCCTGGGCAGCCTGGAGCTCATCAAGTTCCGGGAGTCTGGCATCGCCTCGGAATACGAGTCCAACACGGACGAGAGCGAGGAGCGCGACTCATGGTCCCAGGAAGAGCTGCCACGCTTGCTGAATGTCCTGCAGAGGCAGGAGCTGGGCGATGGCCTGGACGATGAGATCGCCGTGTAGGTGCTGCGGGCGTGGAGATGGCGCAGGAGGTGGTGTGGTGACCGGCCCTGTCTGGCTGCCGCCCAGGTGGGTGTAGGTGCTGCGGGCGTGGAGATGGCGCAGGAGGTGGTGTGGTGACCGGCCCTGTCTGGCTGCCGCCCCGGTAGGGGGATGCCCAGAGATTGCCTCTGCTGAGGGTAATGCCCAGGGGCCAAGAGTGTGAGGTTCCAGAAAAGGAGCAGGGCCTTGCTTTGAAAGGTAAAATGGGGAAGAAATTGGATTCCCAGAGGTGATCAGCTCCTCTTCTACTTGTGACTAAAGGAGAGTGGGGCAGAGCCCCTCTTCAGACCCCCAGGCTGCAGGGGGACCAGCTCCTCCCTGCTGCATCAATGGGCCCCTCTGCTGTGTGTGACACCTTGTACTTCCTTGCTCTCCCACCTCCATGGTCCCCACCATGAAGGGAAGCTATCAGTCCCCTCTCAGGTACTTTGATTCTGGATATCAGGATGCTACGAGTTGCCTAGCCTGCCTCTGACCTTTATGGGAGAAATTCCTTCTCCAGGCCTTTGCTGGGATTGTAGAGGTTGAATGCTCTGGGCTGTAAAAGCCGGGCTGTTTTTTATAGTGTGAACATGGAATTGGCGCGTGTCACGGTGGATATGCTCTAAGAGGAATTGAATCCAAAGGTTTTCTCTGGCTGGATGTTGGTTGTTGCTTCAGAGGGAGCCTGGGAGCTTTAACATGGTTCAGGCCTTGGCTGTTAGAGTTCAGGAGGAGAAGAGCCTCTTTTTCTGTCCCAAGTCACTTCTGTCTGAGTCTTCAGCTGGGAAGCCCAGTGCCTCCTGCCCGTAGCCCAGCCCACTGCATGGAGGCTAAGAGGAGCCCCTCCTTCCCCTGTGCCAGCTGAGGCTTTTATATCTCTTTGCCTCTGTGAAAGCCTCTTGAGACCCAGAACCCCCAGCCTTATCTTTCAACCTGTCCCCTCCATTAGGCAGTAGGGGTCAGTTTTTCCTGCCCAAAAAAAAAAAAAAAAAAAAAGGAAGAAGAAAAAAAATGGACACAGGCTGGTAGCTGAGACTGCTTTTGTCCACCCTTCAGAATCACTGCCACTTAGGTCAGGGACCACAGCCACATCACCTTCAGCCCATCTCTGTGGATATGTGCCTCGAACACACCTGTAAAAAGTGCCATGTGCAATTCTCTTATCTTTTACCATCCAGGCCTTGCCCAGGGATCATTACTTGCTAACAGGCTGACTGGCACAGTGAGGGAAAGCTCCTTTTGCTCCTGTGGGGCCGTAAGTGGCTGTTTACTGATTTTCAAATGCCTAAGAGAGAGAACTTGAGACATGCTAGGCCTGGACCACCAGCTGTAGACCCAGACCGCAGTGTCATGAGAGGGGTAATTGAGAAACATATGGTTGCCCCCAAGTGCAGTTTGTCAACCTTAGCTTTGCTTTAGAATTTATAGAAATAAAAATTTAGTACTTTTCTTCTTGTTTATCAGAAAGTCCAAATTAAAGGAAGTGAAGGAAACACATGCAGCTTTAGCCTTCCTTGGTGCATCAGGGTGTCGGTGGAAATAGGACGGTATAGTGTGTGTGTGTGTGTGTGTGTGTATACACACACGTGAGGGAAGGTGTGTACATGTATGTGGGATTGTGAGAAGAGAATGGAGCTCTCCGGGGTGTTGGAATAGATTTGTCTTTTTCCTAATGTGCTTTGAGTTGGAGAGGTTGGTTCTGTTTGTTTCATCATAGGTTCTGATCAACCGCTAGAGAAGGGCCAGATATACAGGGAAGGAAGAAGCAGGAAAGTGAGGTCCATGAAACCAAAGGAGCAGCTGTCAGGAATCCAGTTTGGCTGAGCCCACCTAGCTTAAGAAATATAAGCCAGGCTTCCTTGAGTCTTAGACCTCTTAGATTGGTAGGATTTTGAATGTCCAGATCTGTTTCCTCGAGGCAAGCAGGTGCTAAGGATGAAGCTAGGAGGCCAATGGGTTAGGTGTGTGGAACGTGGATGGACAAGGCTTATACGGGATGTTGCTGGGGAGGGGAGCGTGAGTGGGGAAAGCAGTTCTAAAATGGTCTTGAAAAGCCTGGGAAGAGAAAGAAGAAAGGAAATGGAGAGATTAATGGATTAGAGAGACTAGTCACCTGCATCACTGACTGATTTGGGGACCCGTTCAAGACTCCCGCCCCTTCCGTGTTACCTGGTGGTTTCTACCTGCCTCGGCCCCAGCCTTTCCCTAGTTCAGGCCCTTCCTGGAGCACTGGTTTGTGTACTGATGTCTTCCCCAGTGTGACACAAACCAGCTCACACTAGGTACACGGAGATGGGAGGCAAAGGACAACTAGGAGCCTTGAAGGGTTACCAGCCACCAAGACTCTGTCAGGAGCAACGGGGCCAAAAGGGGGAAGTTGCAGACCTGATTTCCTGGTGATGGCACCCTGTCCTTCTCCTCCCTTGCTTCTTGCTCTGCTGCTAACTCAACTCCACCTTCTTCTTTTTCATCCTTCTACTCTGCCCTACATGGAGGACAAGAGGATACCCAGGGTCCCTACCTTATTGGTGCCTGCCCCAGGTGCCAGCAGACTCTCGGGCTTGGGAGATCTCTCACAGTTACGGAGCCAGGGAAGAGTTTCTCTACAAAGGATGGACTGTGTATTGGGATTGAAAATTATATTCCTTATATTCCTGCTTATATCAACGCTATCTGTGACACTTCCTCCTAGCCTCATGTTTCTCCACTGGCCTTGATTAGGAGTTGTATTTCTTTGGTTTCCTCTTTGCTTGACTGCTTCCTCCTACCTCCTCCCCACCCCAACCCTCCAGCCCTCCACTTCCTAAAACTGTTATGTCATTAACTCTGTTGGGTCAACTCTCTGGGAAAAGATTCTGTTAATGTAAGTGCACTTACTCCCTGGATGTCGTCACTATAGTCTAGTGGCTTTTGCTAAATAAACCTTTCTTATTTCTACAAGCTTTTCCATTTGTCTTTTCTTGCTGCTTCTGTTCCACCTGCTCCTTCTCTCCCCTTCACTTCCACCCCTATCTCAAGCCAGGCAGCATCACTGATTCTGTGACGTGGTTCCATTGGATGTGGGATTTGTACAGAATTCACATGTTCCCTGACGGAGAGGCAGGAAGGTGGTGGTGACTTCATTTGAGGTTTTCAGAGAGCAGCCTCGTAGGATCAGGCTATATCAGTGTGGTTCTTAACTGACATAGAAGATTTGCTTCCCCCGGGACGATTAACGATGTCTGGAGACATTTTTGGTTGCCACCATGCTGCTGGCATGTAGAGGTTAGAAGCCAGGGATACTGCTAAATACCCTATGATACACGGGACAGCCCCTCACAGCAAAGAATTGTCTAGCCCGAAATGTCAGCAGCGTTGTCCTTGGCAAACTTGCGATCTATACCCATTTTGCAGACTCTGCGGACCCCCAGATATTTTTTCAAACTCCAAATATTATTAGACTCTGAGGGCAGGAGCAAGTTTTGAGCCCTTGAAAAAGTACTACATCATAGGTGTTTTCCAACATAACTAAGATTATCAAGATTAAACCATTTCACTGACTCCCCAACTAAATGTCTGAAATATGTAGTTGGTAGCAGTCTGAAGGGGCCCACTCCAGAAATGTTCATCCCGTAGGGCAGTGGCTCTCAACCTTCCTGATGCCGCAACCCTCTAATACAGTTCCTGTGGGTCGAGACCCACAGGTTGAGAACCGCTGCTGTAGGGCAAGACAGGCTTCTCCTCTTCCCTACCTGGCGGGGTCGTGATGCCGTTGCACACAGCTCAGCAGGGGCATCCCGACTCTCAGGGGTGTGGGCTTCCCTGCAAGGAGTAGATGAAAGAGAGGAGGAAGCTGGACAAAGAGGGAGCAGGGAGATGAGCTGCAGGGCCTTCCGGAACAGACTTTAGAGAAGCTGGTTCCCTTTGGCTGGAGCTTTTCCCAATTTTGAAGGAAGAGGGCTTATTAGGCCCAATGTTCTGTCAAGTCCAGCCAGAAGGGAAGTTGGAAGGGTCATATAAATCAGGCTCACAACGCCCTCTGTTCTTTTCTGGCTGAGGGAACTGAACTGAGTTTTATATCTCATCTGTAAAATGGGGCTTGTACATGCCACTAAAGCTAGTAAGGACAGTGAAGGAGATTGCGTTTTCAAAGCACCTGGCAGTGACCTGGGATACAGCTCAGCTTCCCATTTAGTTGGCTTCCTCCTACCTGCACCTGCTGGTCAGTTGTTTGCTGGGTACTTTCTCCTGCTGGACTGAAACTCTACTCAGCTCTGTTCTGAGGACGTTCCTGGTGTTACACTGACCACACATTACATGGGAACTGTGGAAGCACCATGTCTTTAGGATAGGAATGCCAGCCTGGCACATGGGCAGGTGCTGGGACACTGGGCCCATCCAACCTGATTGCTTCCCCTCCTTTTCTGTGCTCCTTGCCTGGGATGTTGATGCCGATGCCCCAGAGGAAGGAGCGTGGGGCTGGTGGAGGGTGGGAGGCCAGACTAGGAGCCAGTTACTTTCCTGGTTCTCCTGGATATTAATGAGACCGTAAGTTGTCTCCTCGCCACCCCCACCCTGAATGTGCCTCTCCTTTCTCAGGAGCCCCATAGAGGGGTGCACGTGCAAGGCCACATGGGTGAGAAGGAGCCTTCTGGGGCTCGGTGGCTTCTCTGTTCAGAGAAGCAGCAGCTCAGAGTGAGGACTAAAGAGACCTGCTCCCCCAGGACATGAGGCCCCAGGGGTGATGCCCAGATACTGCCTCACCTGGGCTGGGGTCATGACCCACAAGTCCTGACTCCCTGTCCGGCTGGAGCCTCTGATGGTCAGGCAGACTTTGGGTGTCTGGCTGAGCGAGGGGTAGATCAGGGGGAGAAGCAGCGGTGGGGAGCGTGGGCTGGAGTGGCCTCAGCAAATGATGTGATGAGGGGGTTGAGTCCATCTTCCCTCTCACTCGCCTGAGATTTTAGCAGCACAGTGTTAAGCAGAGCACCTCTGCTAAGCTGCAGGGTAAGGCTCCGGAAAGAGCTGGTGCGTATCCATTGGGAGGGTAGGAGACCCACCCTCACCTGCCATGAGGGTGGCAAAGGCTGATAGAGTGTGGGTGCCAGGGTCCCTGAAAGGCAGGGCACCACTGCCGTGGAAGGGCCACTGAGTCATCAGAGACATGAAGCAGGAGGGTTAGTAAGGCCTAAAAGTATGACCACCAAGTGTTCTGTTCTCCTTTTTTAAAAACCCACATAGTGCAAAATAAATCGATGTTCTTGCTGTGTCCCGGATGTTTACCTGTCTGCCTCAGAAAGGGAGGTTCGCCAGAAATGAGGAAGGGTCAGGGCCGTTACTTGGTAACAAGAAGCAACGTTTTCATGTTTACCTGCCTGTTCTGACGTAACACAAAGCAGCCACGTAAGGATGTCCCCTGAGTCAAAAGTGGTTCCTTTTTGGTCTAGCCAGAGATGCTTGTGTACACGGGGCCTGGGCTCAGCCCTGTCTCCCTTTCCCCTGCCGTATGCTGTGGGGCACACAGTATCCCGTCCTCTGAAGATCTAAGAACTGCAGAGATTTCTTCTCCGTGCAGACTGGACCGGGTATTCCATCTGTCCTCCCGAGTATGGAGCACTGATCATCT